GTCCCCACCTGACACCCAATCTCCCCTGGCCTCATCCAGGCCATTCCTCTGCAAACAGAGAAACCCTTCCCTGATCCTGCCTGAGACGAGCATTTCCACTGCCCTGCTCCAAGTGCTGCTCCTAAAAACTTCCAAATGCTGCTGGGTTAGGAAGATGAAAAGCCAACTTACCAGACATACCACAGACTTGTCCAATCAGACATGTTCCGAGGGCATCTGTGAGGGAAGGCAGATGGTTCACTGATTTAAATAGTGCATGTAGGACAGGGAATGCACTTCCCTGGGGGGAAAAAGGGAAAGCACTCAGTAAGAGCATGGAGCAAAACCACTTTAGATTGTTCTTCATGGCTGTACCATTACTCCAGATGAGAACATGCAAATAATCCCACTGTAAAAGTTGCTTCTGAATCAATCAATCTTTTTATTGAGTGGTGCTTTACTCTTGCTTGGGAGAGAGAATGACTCGTGCAGGATTCCCAGAAAGCCAAATCAGTGTTATTTAAAGGTAACTGTTGTTTAAAGGTGCCTCATATCAGAGGCCTGTCTGAAAATGCTGGTCTGGACAAGGGCTTGTGTCCCCCAGATATTTTAAAGTTATTTTTTCCATAGCTCCAATGCAGCCAGAAATGGCTTTTTTCAGCTCTAGTGCAGTACAGAAGGAGGAGAACAGCTCCTGTGCCATTCCAGCAGGGCTGTGTGTGCTGAAGCTCCTGTGATGGATTTGCTGTGCCAGAACAATGGCTCTGACCCCGGGACACCTCTGCAAACTGCCCAGAAGTGACACCTGGGACAGAACCATTCCCCTCAGTCCGCAGAGCAAGGGCAGCCAGGTGAAATGTAAAAGTTGCTGACTGTCTTAGAGATCAGAAAAGAAGCTGTGAGAGATGGCCATGAGAAGTCACAGTTCAGGCGTGGGGATGTCACTTGGTCCCGGTGGGGAAGGCTGGGAACAGGCAGGGGTTACTCACCGGGCAGTGATCACGGCTGTTCCCAGGACAGAGTGGTGCCTGGGAAAGGGGAACCCGGGGCTGGATCAGCAGGTGGCCGGAGGAGGAGGAGTGCCCGGTGTCCTGTGCCGTGCTCGGGGGCTCCGGGCAGTGTCCGGGAGCCCCGGGAGCCGCCGCCGCCTCAAGGACAGGCGCTGAAAGGGGACACCGAGCCCTGGGGCCGGCCCGTGCTGGGCAGCGCAATAAATAACCGGCATCATCCCGGGGGGGCCGAGCCGCGGCGGGGCAGGGCCGGGCAGGGCCGGGCAGGGCCGGGCAGGGCCGGGCAGGGCCGGGCAGCACCGCCCCGCCGGGCCCCGCCGCCTCCGCCCGCCCGCGGGAGGGCTCGGGCCGGGAGGGGCAGAGCGGCACCGGCGAACCCCTGCCCTGTCCCTGCTTCTGTCCCATCCCTATCCCTATCCCTATCCCTATCCCTATCCCTATCCCTATCCCTATCCCTATCCCTATCCCTATCCCTATCCCTATCCCTATCCCTATCCCTATCCCTGTTTCTGTCCCTGTTCTTGTCCCTGTCCCTGTCTTTGCCCCTAACCCTGTCCCTGCCCAGCCCCTGTCCCTGCCCCTGTCCCTGTCCCTGTCCCTGTCCCTTCCTGCCCAGACCGGGCTCAGGGGGGTTACAAGGGCAGAGCTCCGCTTGCAGAGATTTCCCCGGAGCTCCTCGGGACGGTGTGTGATGCTCTTACAGACCAGAACCCCCCAGGTGTGCAGCAGCTGGACACACCCCTGAGCCTCTGCCGTGTCACAGGGACTTGCAGGAGAAATAAAGGAATGAGAAGCCCGGTATGAAATACATGAGTCAGAAACAAACGTTTAGAAGAGCAGATCATTTCCCCTTCTAAAAGCAGCCTTGTTAAAGCACCTGAAACACGACTGAAAAGCAATTGACGGCTCTCTAGGATCGGTGTGCTCCAGGCTGTTTAACTGTGTCGGTAGAAATTCCTTTTCTCCACCCGCGAGCCTTTGTTGTATTCTCCTCCCGGTCCAGCTGAGGGGGCAGCGATGTTGTGGCTTTGGTGGCACCTGGTGTCCTGTCAGGGCCAGTCCAGCACAGTCCTGGGACAGCCACTCTATGGGGAGCACCAATGGACACAATGCCGGGGAAGCACCAGGTGATATTCCATATATTCCCTATATTCCCTACTTTTGATTCCTAGAACTGAAAGCCAGTGTTTCCAGGCTCAGCAGTGGCATGTGACAAAGTGACTGCAGTGTTTTCCTCCAGCACTGCTCAGGGTCATGGGGCCATTGCTCATTTAGGGAAACCTGTGCTCATACGTGTGAAGAAATAGCTGAAGTCACTTCTGGAGAAGCAGAACATGAATTAATAAATGTGGATGACACTGGTTCTTTCTCACTCTCTGCTTTACCAATGAGCTGGGTTTGCCCTTAAGGATTATGAAGATCATACATGGGGGTGTGAATTGCTCATTGAACCAGAACTGCATCAGTGCCACGAAGTTCATGTGAGCTTTTAGATCCAAATCTGAAAGCACGAGTTTGTATCCAGGGACCCAAGAGTGGTCACAGTTGCAAAACTCAGTTTGAAAGCAGAATGGTCACAAGTGCAGTCAGAGGAGCAGAAAACTTCAACTTCCAGGAAATGAAGAAATACTTCTGAGGTTACATTTTCCATACTGTCCTCACAGCTCCATTCCTGCTGGAGTCCTTGATATGAAACAGAAACAGCAGGTTCCATGTTCAGAGTCACCTGGCAGTTGTAATGCCCAGTGTGCTACAGCTGTGGAAAACCACTCTGGAAGCACAGAACTGAACAGGGTTGTGCCTTTGCAAGAGATGAACTTGCAGGAGCTGTGCTGAGCTTCTGCTGGGCACTGAGACTTGGCACTGATCCACGCCAGGAGAACACAGCAGCACTCAGCTCTGTGTGCTCAGGGAATTGTTACAGACCTTCTCCACTCCTTCTGATCAGCTCCACGCGTCTGAGCTACCAGGGAATTGTTTCCACTCCAGGGAATTGTTTCCATTCCAGGGAATTGTTTCCATCTTTAGTTGTCCCAGTCAATTTTCTGTTCACTGCTGATGAACGTAACCCACATTGTACATGAGAATTGTGTGAGAATCTTCACAGAATTCCTACATTTTCAGTAACTGAAGGTGTACATCTCTGACCACTGCAGGTTTGCATCATGGTGATTCCAACTGTGGATAATTCTCTCAGTGACACGGCAGTGAAACATCCAGGGTTACATTTTGCAGACACAGTAGCTGTGCTTTTGCTTTTGAAACTGCAGTAGTGTCCCAGGTGAAGCAGCACAGTCTGCACACACTCCCAAGTGTTCTGCTTTTCCACATCAGATAATTTGTTGTCCCTTCCACATCAGCCTGTGTCTCATTGCCTGAGTGCTGCCCCATGTGAGAGCTGGCACTTCACACTCTGTGTCCCCAAAGAACAAAGCAATCCAAGAGAGGGAATCCCAATCCTGAGCAGCCATCGTGCCCCCAAGAAGTCAGACACAATCACTTTCGAGGCCAATCTAAAATACCAGGTTTTTCTCTTATGAAAGGGACTGAAACCTGTTCAGATTTCCATAAGTGCTTTACAGAATGTCAGCTGGAGTTTACAGGGAGAATTTACTTTATTTTCAGTCCTCCAGAAATAACCACCTGTTCCTGTTATCCTGGTCCAACCCTCCCCCGAGAGAACAAACACATACTGAATTTTAAACGTGGAGACTTTGACCAGAGAAACCCAGAACCTTCTGTTCACTTCAATCCTGTGAAAATATTGATCCAAGTCCTCCCAAGTCCCAGGAATGCAAGTACAGTGGGTGACACTGCTCACCTTGAGCTGCTGGGTACCACTGGTGCCTTCAGCTGGTTGGTGGCAGCTGCTCCTTACCCAGCCTAACCCTGTGAGAGCACCAATGTCACTCTCTTTACATCATTCTTATGTTTTTTACTTCTTTTCATCCTCTGGATGCTTTTTCTCAGTACCTGACCTCTGTGAAGTGGAAGATTCCTAAGACAGGATGTTGTTTCCTGGTAGATAATGTTACACTTATTTTCAGCACTCTGTGTTGTTATCATAACCAGAGTCTGGAGACTGATCTGTTGTCAGCCACCACTTTTTGGTTTCAGGAGTGAAATCTGAAGGATCCTCACACAATGGATGCCCACAAATGCAGTGCCTGAAGTATCTCCTCCACCCACAAGCTGTGTCCTTCCTTGCTTCCTGACAGCTGCCCTGCCATGAGGTCCCTGGTGAGTGGGCAGTGCTGTGTGCAGTGGTTTTAGTGAGTGCAGTGGTATTTACTCACCCTTTTGGGGCTGCAGGGAGCCAGCACACAAAGCCCATTGTGTGCCCAGCCCAGGCCCAGCTGGGCCAGCAGCAGCACCCAGGGCCTCAAGGATGGCAGAGCTGTCCCTGGCTGGCACTGCCACCCCAGCTCCTCCCCAGCCCTGCACACTGGGACTGGGCAGCATCTGCAGTCTTTAGACTGAAGAGTTAAGTGACTCCACAGGCACTCGATCCATTATTAAATGAGAACACATCTCAATGGATCAAACACTGGCTGCAAAAACAAGGAACCCCCTCTTCACTCCCACAACCCTCCTCTGTCTAAGGGGGAGCCTGGTTAAAATGTTCCTTGTGACAATTGCTTCCCTGCTTGTTCCTGCAATATCCTCATTACCACAGGGATATTTACAAATAATGTTTCTATTTTCTGATTGCATCATCTGAGTCAGGGATTTAACAGCTCCCAGGGCCAAAGGGCAGCACGCCCTCGGGGTGCTGGGGAGGGAACTTTGCCACAGACTGCCTGTGACTCAGGAAGGAGTGTGATAAGAGATGCACAGGATTATCCTGTGTCTAATGGCTGTGCCTTCCTGCTCCCTCCACCCTCCAGCTCTGCACTTGCCCTGAACCAGCTGCTGCTTCCTGACACAAGTTCCACCTGCAGGGCACTCTGGCTTCCCCTGAACAGCAGGATGCTGCTCTCACCCAGAATTCAGCAGAAGGCAAATACAGAAATACAAAGTTCCTGGACAGCCAGGATCTCTGGCAAGTGCCTGCCCTCATCCAGGGAACAGCACAGGAATATTCCCCCTTGAGCACATGTCAGCAGGCAGATTTGATTGTACATTGTAAAGGTGACTCCCCAAATTATTTGGAGGAGACTTGAATAAGAAACTTTATTCTGGTCTTAGAAAAAGTTAAGGCTTTTCCAAATCCTCCAAAAAGCATCTGAAATTGGATAAAGGTAGAAACTCACCAGTGTGGGTGTAAACCAGACACTCCTCCTGATGGAATGCCCACCTTTGGGAGACATGGGATTAAGAGCAGATGTAGCTGCTTGGGGCCCTCAGTAATTCCTTCTTCTAACACAAGATTATTGTCAGAGTCAGCTGGAAAGTGAAGCCACTGGCACCAGAGTTTACAGAGAACTTTGGGTGAAACAGAGCAGAAATGTCACACAGCCCTTCCTTCCCACATCCCTGCCACCCTCACTTATTTGCAGCAGCCTCAAAATCTTCCCATGATCCAGCAGAGACACAGGGAATCCCAGTAATGGGACTTCCATCTTCTTTCCATTTGGCTGGATCCCTCAGGCAGTGGGAGCAGCTGCAGACACAACTCTTGCCATGAGCAGGACTTGGTAGCATTCTGTGATGTCACCTCTCAGAGTCAGGAGGGCTGACACGAGGGGGGGGTCACTGGTCTGCAGAGAGAACCACACAGGAACCCAGCTGGTCTTTTGGACACAGGAGACACGAGTGGATCACCTTCTAAACTCTGTTTCACAGCTCAGTGTTCAGGGTACCAGTTATAGCTACAGGTGACAGGTGACAGCCTCTGTGCTGGCTCCTCTCTGTCCCCAAGTGATGCTCCTGCTGCAGCCAGTGAGGTATGACAGTGACTCAGCACTGTGTCCCCAGAGTGCCACAGAGACTGTCCCCACGTCACAGCCAGGCACAGCAGAAGCTCAGAGCTCCCAGAGAGGGCTGGAAGGAAACGGATCCTGTCAGCCCCCAGTGAGTGCTCAGGGTTGTGCAAGAGCTGGGGTTACCAGGAGGCACAGAGCAGGCTGGATGCATCCTGCCAGGAGCTCTGCTGCCTCTTTCTGCTGCCAGGGCAGAAATCTTTTAATTTTGGAACCAGCTACTCATTGTGCCATCCCACACACGGGGAGTCAATGCCTCCAGCCTCCATGAATGCCCAAGGAGGTGAATCAGGAAGGGCAATCACAGCCTCGTGGAGTTGTTGGGACATCACATCCAACCTCTGCAAGTCAGAAGTAGCAGATACAGGGCACAGAAATGGGGCACCCACCAATGGGGCACCCACCAGGAGCTTTGTGTCACACCCCATCAGGAGCTTTGTGTCACACCCCCCAGGAGCCTGTGTGACAGCCCATAAGAAGCCCTGTGTGACACCCCCCAGGAGTCTGTGTCACACCCCATCAGGAGCTTTGTGTCACACCCTCCAGGAGCCTGTGTGACACCCGCCAGGAGGCCGGTGTCACACCCCATCAGGAGCCTGTGTGACATCTCCCAGGAGCCTGTGTGACACCCCATAAGAAGCCCTGTGTGACAGTCCCCAGGAGCCTGTGTTAAACCTGCCAGGAACCCTGTGGACACCCCATAAAAAACCCGGTGTGACACCCCCCAAGAAGCCCTGTGTGACACCCCCTGGAGCCCTGTGTGACACCTCATAAAAAGCCCGGTTTAACATCCCCCAGGAGCCTGTGTCACACCCCTACAGGAGCCCTGTGTGACACCCCCCAGGAGATTTGTGTGACACCCCCCAGGAGCCCCGTGTCACACCCCAAAAGAAGCCTGTGTGACACCCCGTAAGAAGCCCGTGTGACACCCCATAAAAAGTCCTGTGTCACACCCCATAAAAAACCCCGTGTGACCCCCCAGAGGCGTGTGCCAGCCGTGTCGCAGCCTCACCTGCAGGTCGGCAGGTGGCAGCCACGCGACGCCGATGCGCTGGCGCTGCCCGCGCTCCAGGGCTCCCCGCGGGCCGCGCAGCTCGAAGCCGGCCCGCTGCAGCTCCGCGCCGCCCTCCAGGCTGAACTCCAGGGCCTGCCAGCACACACGGCTCTGCTCACCCGGGCACGGCGCTGCCCTGCCCCGCTGCCACCCGCCGTGACAGTCATTGTGTCACCTCGGCACCAAATACGCCGTTAAAATAACAGGGTTTATTCAGTAATTCAGTTCTGGGCTCAAATTTCATATTCCAGAATTGAGGAAGCAAACTGCCAAATTAATCTAGTTGCTGACTTAGTATGATAATGCAATTCCTTATATTAGCCCCTGAAAAATAAGCTTTTAAGACACATAATATAAAATTTATCAGAAATGCTGAAAGCTGCTTTTTAAATTTATAATTTTGTGAATTTTGGACAGAATGAACGAGCAGCCCTCTGCACACTGTAGGATCCCACACAGCCCCTGGCACAAACCTGCAGGTTTTATTTCCCTCACCTTCTTGGCTGCCAGCTGAGGACTCTGAATGGCCCCCACGGTGATCTCTGCCTGGGCTGGCTCTGCTGAGCCCTCCACGAACTCCAGGAGCAGGAGAAGGGACCTCACTGCTTCTTGTGGCCCTGAACAAACAGCAGCCAGGTCAGCTCTGAGACAGCCAAAACTGAGCCCTTGGCATTTGGAGCCAACACAAACTGCACCAGGATGGTTCAGAACAAAGTGATGTGGCAAACCAGGAGCTGGCACAGACAGAGAGATCCTTTCACAGAGTTAGAGAGGAATTAAGGAAAAGGACTTTGGATAATTTGCAATTGCAAAGTGCAATTATTACTTGTTTATCAAGTTTCAGGCTCGTTTTCTAGCCCATGGCACACACCTCTGTGTATTTTATTCCTACTTATGTGTGTGTGCTTGGACTTACTTACAGCTCAGGAGACAGGAGCTGTTTGCATCCTGTGTCTGAACACAGATCCTGTCCCAAGAAATTAAGGAAGAGCAACTTCAAACCCCCAGAAGTTTCATAACAGGACAAACAGGAGAATCCAGGAGATGTGGTTGTATATGAAATAATTTCTTAAACATTTAATACACCTCAGAGAAGTGGCAGAAAGCAAATGCATCTTAATTCTTCACGGTAGTATTACATTATAATAATTTTTTCAAAGAAGCTGCAGAGAAGACCATCATTAAGACAAAACTGCATTCACATGAAGAGAAAAACTTTCTTTATGAGAAAGTTTAATGGTATTTTTAAACACTGGTGGCACTTTACCTCTTTCCAGCGCTTCCCGTGGTGCCACAGGGGAGGTCACAGCCAAGGACTCCACGGGCACGTCCAGGGGCACTCCCCCCTCCACAAACATGGGGTGGTCCCGGGCTGCTCCCTTCAGCTGGATCTCGTGGGCTGTGTGCTGGGGGAGACAGGAAGTCCTGGGTGCAGGTGACAGCTCGGGTCACCCGAGTGACGCTGGCACCTGAGCCAGCAGCGCCAGGAAATGGCAGCATCGCCTCCCACGTGAACGATGCCAATGATCCTAATGCAGGAGTGCTGCACCTGCCCCTGGGCTTGCCCACTCTGGCACTTCTGTTTTAAACAGCCTTGGAAATGTGCCTCGGGAGGGCACTGGACAAACGATTTACACACAAGGCACTAAAAGAGGTAAAACTTTTCTGTGGCCAAACTTGGGTCAAGCGTCCGTTCACCCTCTGTTTATCCCGCCGTGCATTCCTACCTGCAATAAATCCCACAGCTCTCGCTCAGCCCGGCTTTGCAGTGCTGCTGCTGGGCATTAGTGGTCACTCTGCACCAACTTTTGGTGTCCTGGCAGGTGCCCAGGGCTGCCCGCGGCGCTGCCACCTGCGCATCCGGCCGGAGCATCCCGGGCAGCTCTGCAGATGGAACCTGGCAGCGAGCGGCTGCAAGAGCAGCTCCCTCCTGCTCCTGCTCCTGCTCCTGCCCCTGCTCCTGCTCCTGCCCCTGCCCCTGCTCCTGCCCCTGCCCCTGCCCCTGCCCCTGTTCCTGCCCCTGCCCCTGCCGGGCCGTGCTGGGCAGGTGGAGCTGCCCTCTCCCCCTGCTCTGCCATTAAATTCTCCCTGCAGGAGCCCCGTGCTCAGCTCCCGTCCCCTCCTGACCACAGCCTGCACTGACGGTGACAGGGATGGACCCCACGTCACTGTTTTTATCAATTGATAACTGAATATCTAAACCTGAAAAATGCCAGAGGGCCCCAAATGTGCCCTTTCCTCCCTACATCAATTCAGCCAATATTTTCTTATCATAATCCTGGTTGTCTCACCTTGCCAAAGAGCAGCACCTTGAGACGGTCGGAGTAGTAGAGACTTTCATGATCAGGACTGAAAGTAACCACGAAATCCTGGCTCATCCCAGCCTCAATTTTTCCTTCTGTTGGAGAGACACTGAACACACTGAAGCCATTATAGTTCTGTGTTCCTGGTAAATATAAATGAGGATACAGATAAGAAAGGAGGACAGATCCATTTTACTTCTTCATAAATTTTAAACCCATTTAATTTTTGCTGGAACAGCAAATAAATAAGAGCTGATACATGGCTTTGCAGCAAAACAGGGTGTTAGGAACACCAGATAAATCCATCCATCCATCAGTTTGATGCATTAATCTCCAGAGGAACTGAAGCAGCATCACCAACCCTTCCTATATTCTGACATGTTTTTACACATCTGGACATCTTTAAATGGAATCTTTAATACACAATTACTGTGTGGGTTTATTTAGATTTAAACACTAATATCTCCTTACTTGTGGGTATCTGCTCAGGCTGCACAAATTTACAGCTCCCATACTGAAAGAATTGCTACAGCTCCTACTGGGGAGCAAAATGAAGTCTTTAATTTTAGGGCTGTGACGCCCAGGTCTGACAGTTGTGTGCTGTCAGAGGACACAGCTATGCTGCTTTCCACCTCCTGAGTCTTTAGCAGAGGAAAAAGAGGCAAGAATAAAAGGAAGTTTACCAACAATCTCTGTTCTCTGCAGAGAGGGTGTAAGAAAGGAGGGGATTTTCTGCCGGTCTCTGTCCCGTGTTGGTGAGAGCGACTCCAGTTGAACAGAGAACAGCAGGGTCAGGCTGGAAGTGTTCTTTATCTGGGGACATTCATTCACACAACAGCATTTGCATGAAGGAAATTGATTCTCAGGCCTGTAAGGTCCATAGTTTGCAAAGTGGCTGGATTTATTTTGCTGCATTAGTGCAGCTCTGTGTCCCCAGCTGCCACCAGAGGCACAACCAGTGCTGCCCATAACGTGCCACACCAACCCCCTCTGCATCAAACACTGGGCTTTGCTTATTGACACATTGGACAAAATGTGGGAGGAGACAGTTTGTGTTGTGTTCCTCCTCACAGGAACTCCTGCTGTGCTCTGCAGCTCAGCAGGGGCCTTACCTGGACTGTGGCAGTCACCGTGTCCCTGGCCATGACGTAGCCCATGTCCAGCACCTCTCCCACGGAGCACTCAGTGCTTGGCACCACCCCGTGCCCAGAGAGGTGGAGGCTGAGGTTGGTCTTGGCCACCTGGATGTCCAGAGTTTCCAAGAACTGCCCAGAGGGTGCCTGGGTTAGTCCATGTGCTCAGGGAACCCCCACCCCTCCAGCCGAGCCCTCCCAAAGGACCATCCCCAAACTGAGACAAGATCCCAATGTTTGGGCAGGAACAAAGGTTTTTCCTGTTGGTAACACGTGTATCACACAGCCCTCATGTCTCTCCTGCTTTCCCCCACTGCTCTTGTATCTTTTACTCACCCATTTGTCCTCACTTGGACAAAAAGAGATGATGAGGGGTTTATTTTCACCTGGCTCAAGCGTTCCAACTGCTCTGACCAACAGGAAGGGGCCATTGGGATTCAGAACTGAGAACCCCAGCTAAAACAGTGCAGCTCAAGGAAAAAAATCATAAAGATTGGGACAAAATATATGAGAATAGATTCTACATATTGTTTACATGTCTTTGGCCTGAACTAAGCATGTATAAGCTTTTGAGGGATCACTAACCAGAGAGAGAAGATGAGCTGGTGCTTTAGTGCTTTAGCAGCTCCTCCTGCAGAGACAGAGCCTGACTAAGCAGAGGCTGAAGGCTGAGCTCATGTGCTCCAGACAAGGATACTTCCAGCTTCCCTGGGGAGATGTTTTCTATTGTAATTCTCTTCATCATTCTGTGGCCTGCAAGGAATGGAAACAATTCCCAAAGTGAGGGTGCTCATCCCTCCCATTCCTCCCCCTCACTTGTGCTCCTGCCTAAGCCAGACTCATCCCAGGCCTATGGCTGAGGCACCACTCAAAGCTCACCAAAATGCTTTCAGACTGGGACAGTAATTTCTGGAGCTTCCAGGTCCTTGTTTGGGGATCAGATCTGCTCTTCCATGGGCCTCAGCTGGCCAGAGGCTCCCTGTTTTCCACCTAAACACCCACTAAGGGCTAATTTCTATCCTGACTTTTGAAAATGCAAAACTGCTGGGAAGAACTCACTATCAGAGAGAAATAACTCCAAACCAGAATTCAAACTCCATACCTACAGCAACATCCCCAAAATCAGCCACGTTGATCCCGGAGTCAGAGGTGATCAGAACAGGTGGGGGCACAGCAGGGCAGTGCAGCTCCAGGTACAAGGTGTTGTGAGGGCTGCAGGGAGAGCAAAGGCAGCTGGGGAACAGAAGGGCAGAGCTCTGGGATCACAGACACAACAACAATGCCAGGGCTCTGCTCTGTCCCAGGGAGTGACAGCACAGCACAGGGCTCGGTGACCGACTGTGCCTGAGCAGAGATGAGCTCCAGCTGCCTCAAAGTTTTCACACAATTATTCCTTCAGCTGCTTTGATATTCATGTGTTTGATTCTTATCCAACTGGTGGGCTGGGAGCATGAGTTTCTACCACTGAGCTATGAAGTAATTAAGAGCAGAAAACAAATTTCTCCCCCAAGTGAATAAATCAGCAAGCCCACCATTTCCCCCTCACATCTCTGGGGATCCAAGTGCACCCACCTGCAGGTTAAGTTCCCAGAGCCCTCCTCTCCACTGGCATGGCCACTTGCAACAGAGCATGGGATGATGAATTTGTTGAAACTCCCTCTGAAACTCCTTGTCAGGAAAGCCTGGGCTGCCCTATAAGCATCAAAACTAGAGAATCCAGGAATAGGAATTATCTCAGTGAGTGAGAGAGCAAAAAACATCAAATAAATATCTGCTGAGCTATTTGTGATTATTGTTTCTTAGTCACACATTCAAATTTGAATGTAACAGTGACATTAAATGACTGTCAGTAATGGACCTACCCTATAAAGTGCTTGGCTTTTGTTGCCAAAAGAGAATAAAAATGAAAAACCGAGATAAAAATGTTACACTGAAGATTGCAAAAGCCTCAAGACAATTTCCTTTGGTTAAATACATCAAGTATTTCAGTGTCTTCCAGTACTTCTACATCATTTCAATGACATGTAAACACACAGGATCACATTCCTCTAATGCAGTCTGTAGGCAATACTTCTAAAATAGGGATTTTATTTTTACAATCTCTGCTGAAAATGTTTAACAATTATAATTAATGGATTGCAGTGAACATGGGATTTTAGTAAAAGATGTCAAAACATCCAGCACAGCCAAATGCCTGTTGCTTCAGTATGTATTTACTTCCAAATACTGACAAATTCCTGAGGCTGGCCAGAAGGGTGGCCTTGAGAAGCTGAATTACCTGCTGTACCAGGGCCCTCAAGTATCACATTTTGCATGTGAGTCTCCCAGTGCTGTTGATGTTGACTCTCCCTGAGGTGCTCACACTGCACAGGGACTGCTTCAAATGCACATTTCCAGCAGCATTTCCCTGCCAGCTGATGCTGACCATGACCAATGTGCTGGACTGTGTAAACCCTCAAATTAAAACCAGAAATTACTCTCTGCCATGGATTTGGGCCATCAGCTGGTCCTGGATGTGCTCACAAGAGGTTTTTTGAGTAGTTTCTGTTGGTGCCCAGGTAAGCTTTGCAGTTGCCCTTTCCATAAACCCCGTGTTGGCTCAGCCCCATCCCCCCTCAGCCCCAGCTCCTGCTCCCTGACAGATTCTTTGAAGTCTTCAATCCTTCTGATGCATAAAGGGATTCTTTGCCTCACATGAGAGGGTACAGCTGTGTGGCTCACAAGCAGCACTAATTTTGGAAACAGCCTCTGCAACACAGCTGAAGCTGTTCCCTCTCCAGTTTGCTTTCTTGTCTACCTACAGCTTTAGTAGATTTATTAAACTACTTCTAAAGAGAATGCTGTCTGTGTAGTACAAGATGCTTCTGTTGACTTACTCAGGCTTTAACTCTTCGGGTTTTGGCTCTTTAAGGCTGTGTACAGAAGCCAGGCTTTTCCTGCTTCCAGTCTTTCCTCTGGAGATGGAAATGCTCAATTTTCTTTGCTCTTTCTTTGAATCTTTCTTCTTTTTGCCCGTTGGAGACTGAGGGGGATCACTGGAAATCTGACCAAGGTAGGAGTGAGCAAAGACACAGAGCAAGGAGGTGACACAGAGCAGGGGACAGGGGACACCAGGGTGATGGTGACAGCCCACAGACACAGTAGCTACTACAGACAAATTTCCAATAGTGTAAAGTTTAAAAATTAGGTTGAAATGAACATATTTTACTCCCTCTTAGAATAAGAGGTCTCCTCTTGGAGCAGATGAGTCTCTATCTCATGGCAATTTTACCTGTTTATCTCATAATCCAAGACAACCACAGGATATCACACAAATTAACTGACCTAGGGGTTGCATATAAATTTCCATGGATGCTGTAATTCTTCAGGAAGTTTAGAAGCTTTTTTTTTTTTTAAGAGTATTTCAGTTGGCATTTGCAACAAAACCCTCTAGGAATACTTTAGAAATTGTGAGCATGAAATTAAATTATTGCTCAGAGAACAGGCCACACACTGAGTGCAGTCACAGGCAGGTCCCCCATGGACCACGAGCTCGGGCTTCATTAATATGCAAAGAATTTTCTGATAAAAATACCATCCAGAGAAACAAATATCTGGAAGTGCCAGACCAGCAGCATGTGCTGTTCTTAGCATTCCTTACTTGTGCTCCTGCCTCTGGCACAGCTGCTGTGCTGAGCCTCCTCGTTGCCTCCTCCCTGATTTGCTGATCCGACAGCGCCGGGCTGAAGGACACTCGGATGGAGCTTTTCTGGGAATGGCAGAGCACACACAGCAGTGAGGGCACAGCTCAGCCCCCAGGCACGTGGGACACCTACAGAGCTCAACAGGAGCACACACACAAGGAGATCCTTTCACAGAGTTAGAGAGGAATTGAGGAAAAGGAGGGTTTGGGTAATTTGTAGCTGCAAAGTGCAATTGTTACTTGGTTTTCTAGCCCGTGGCACACACCTCTGTGGACTTTATTGCTGCTTATGTGTGTGTGCTTGGACTTGTTTACACAATTCACACAAGTGCACTTCTGCTTGGAGGGAAGCACAGCATCCTCAGGGTGAGGGCATTGCAGCTCTTTTGGATGTCCAGGAGGTTACAGTGGGCTGGGTTTACATGGGCAATACTTCTGATATTTAAACATTCTCCACATAAATCACAGTGACAACACTGGGGACAGAACACCCCCATAAGGCATTAGCCAGATTTGGTGCTTAACCCTCCTGTCTGATTTAAAACATTCTTTCAAACAATACAAAATATTCATCTATTCTAACAACAACTGATGTTTTGAGCTGTGTTTACAAGTGACAGCCTTTGTAAGGATGCAGATGATCAAAGACCTGGCAGAACAGCTGAGAATTCAAGTGAATTTACCTGCCCAGGCAGCACAGTTCCCACAGAAGGTGCAATGGTCACAGGGCAGTCCTGGGGCACGTGGAATTCAAAGGAAGTGGGGCCAACTGGGACAGGGCTCCCACTGCCAGCCCGTGGGACAGGGTGGGTCAGGGGGTTCCCATCCACGTGGGAATTGAGCACTTCCAGAGTGGCTGAAGTCACCGAGTTCAGGGCTGTAGCAGCAAACTGAACCAAGGAATGAGACAATTCAAGAGGTGGGTGGACTCCAACTGCTTTGCATGACAGCTTGAATTGTCTAAAAATAAACATATGATAAATTGTCTCAGCATAAAATAGTGTCTTAATCAGCCCGGAAAATAGGGAGCTAATCCTGTAGTCCCTATTTAAGCAGAATTTCAAGCTTGCAATGGGAATTTTGCCTAAAGATGAACAATAATACTATCTATTTTTAATGCACAATTGGCTAGAGTCCCTGCTTGAATTCTTCCTCTGTGAACTTCTGGAAATACATCCAGTCAAATCAAAGTTTATGCCATCATTATTGCAGTAGCAATGGCTTAAAGCACAGAGCATTTTTACAAAAAAGAATTCCTTCAGTAGTTGTGCTGAAAAAGCAGCAGAGCACTGCAGGATGAGGGGCTGGAGCTTTGGTGTGGGACAAGGATGAGCTTGAGGAGGGCTGGGAAAAGTCACCTCAGTGAAGACAGATGTGAAAACCAAGGATGAAACCAAGAGGCACTGAGCAACTCCTGCAAGTGGAGAATTCCCACCTGCCTCAGGTGCTTATCCCAGCCTCACCTCCCCAGGGCAGGCAGGGATTCAATCTCTGAGCTGGGTTGACATTCAGATTTTAGCTTCCCTGCTCTCCATCCATTACACACCTGTTGATCTCTGTCCTGCAGGTGAGCTCAAAGCTGTATTCTTTTGCCTTGGTGGCTTTGAAGATTATATCCAGTGTCAGGCTTTCCAGGGGAAGAATAATTCCAAATCCATCATTGGGCTGAACTTCAACAAACTTCAAAATGGCAGGATAAGAAATTATTAGTTAAATTATCAGTTTACTAATAAATTAAAATAAGACATTACTGGCAAGATTAAAAAATTGTTATTAAATGTGGAACTGTCAGGAGAAAGAGAAACCTTCCAGGGATAAGGTTTTGTCTGAGCCAGTGCCCAGATTCTGAGGGGCAGATTTCTCATCTCAAAGTAACTCAAAAAGCATTAAATGCATTAACTCAGATTTCAGGAGAATACTGAATGAAATATGGTAAAAATCTCAGCAGTTGGCCCATGCCTTTGCGAGCTGATTCCTGTCGGGGCAGGGTTAGGAGCAGTTCCACACGCAGGCTGTGCAGTGGTTTGTGCTGGAGCTGAAGATGGTTCTAGAAAGTCTCCCCAGCACACTTCAAGCTCCTCAGGAAACACATGCTGGGAAGTAAAGCTTTCATGAAGCTGAAGTTAATAATTTCTTTTAGCTAGTCCTTGATTTTAATCCCTGAGCCAGCAGAGAACAGGACAATGCCCAATTAACTGCCAGGTTCCTCCAGCCCACATGAACCCAGCAGCTCCTCTCATTAAATTTGTGCTTCCACATCTTCCAACCACTCAGAAAGTGCCCAGGACGGCTTGGGATGGTTCCCAAGGAGCACTGTAAAGGGAAGCCTTTGGGCATTTGGTGCAAAGAGGGCACATTCCTCAGCCACAGCCCCAAGCCTGGTTTATTTAGGGGTAAAAGTGTCCCAAGTGTTCTCTTGGGAGATCTCTTGGTGTAAAAACCCAGCAATTCTGATAGGAAAAGGTGAGGAGCAGGAAAATCTCCTCCCAGGGGGTGGCAAATGCAGAGGTGTCACCAGGGAGATTCACACAGTCCAGGACAGAACTCCACAGGAGCAGGATTCCCATGGGGCTGCAGGAACCAGTCATGATTTATTTACACTCACACTGAACACGTTCCCATGACACTGAAATCTATTTTGACAGCAGAGGGGGTGTGTGTGGGATAAGTCCATACCTCTGGCAGTCCCACAAATCCAAACTCCTGTGGCAAGATGGATTTGTTTGTTAGGGTGACATTTGCCTGCACAGCTTCATAGATCGTGCAGTATCCAAAGCTGATCTGGGCTGGGCTGATTTCCAAATCAGAAGTGGTAACAATGGCATGGACAGTAAAATTAACTTTTTTAGCCTGAAACAAATGCAAGAGAACAGGATAAAAACCTCCATCTGTGGGTTGTAAGGACAGGATTTAAATGAAATGTCATCCAAAAGGAAAAGTGCAAGAAAAATTACTCTGTTCCTTGACAGTATCATGAGATCAGCACTGAGGAGAAAGGATTTCTCCTGTGTTGCAAATATGAGACAAGAAAAAATGAACAAATCTATATCAACACTTCAAGCATCTTTTACTATTATCACAGAGCCTCAATTAGTAAAGAACTAATCTAAAATTAGGTATCATTAAGTGAAAATTCACTAAAATAATTCACATAAACTGTCAGTCTGATTATCAGCATCATAAAAATCCCTGACCTTGTCCACGATCAGGATTGTCACTGGGGCCTCCAGGATTCCTGTCTCTGCATTGAAATAGCTCCCTGCATCTTCAGGAAGGGACTGCCTGAAACCCCAAAAGTACAAATCCAGTCAGTGCCATTAAGACATTCTATTTTCTCACTAAGGGGAATAATGAACTTTTGATGGATTATTTATGAACAGAATGAAAAACACACCGAATCTTGTTACTTAAGGCCTGAAAGTTTTATTATTCACAGCTTTTAGTTTTCATTTAATTGTCCTCAAATTGGAGGATTCACCTGGTTAAGTATCAACTCCAGTTCTTCACTGAAGAGAATTCTTAATGATATTCTGCTTACAAGATAAATTCAAATATTAGAGAAAATGGAAAAAGAATGGTGGAAGAAAATGCCAGTCAAAAATTAGTGACCTGTGAAGTCCCACCTCCTGACCAAGGGAAAGGAGATGCAGTCAGGTCAAGAATATTCTGGATTTGTCCCAGATTTCCTTCAGCCTGGCACCCCTGGCAATGCTCTGAGCAGGAGGGCATGGGCTGCAAGGCAGAGATGTCAGAATGATTGACCTTGTACAGCTATATTGGATTTTTTTGGTTTTCAAAGGCAGGATTTTGGACACACACAGGATTTTAAGGGCAGTCACAGAGATCAGCATCCATTTATCCTTTTTTTTTTTTAAATGCCATGCAGTCATTTAAAATTCTGAAAAATTAAAAGCTTACTCTCTAATCAGAATATAAACCCTGTGCATGTCTGCTGCAGCCCCAGCATGCCACCAGCCCAGCCAAGGCAGTGGCTCCTGAGGCAGAACCACTTTGTATCCCAAATCAGAGATAGAAAGTGAAAAACCTGGAGCCCAGCAGTGCCTGAATACCAACCAGCCTAAGAATTTATAAAGAATGTGCAGGTTTTCTGTAGGTGAAGCATCTTGCTGTCACGAGCTCCATTCCAGAGTTTCAAGCCAAGACAATACAAACCTGGAGCATTTTTAGCTCTGCTGCTCTATTTATATCTCAGAGCACCAGAGTGAGTTGCTTCCTCTTCTTGGGTCTCCACAGTGCTCATGTTCTACTACTACTCATGGAATTGCATGCAACTCTTTAATGTATTGTTAAAGAATAAAAATAACACCCACTCAGTCACCATGGTGATCCAAAATCTTGCTGTTATTTTGCAATAAGGGTGATGTTCAAAGATGTTGGGAAGTTCTTTACAAATAGAACTGAGGTCAAGTGCAAGGGAGGAGTAGAGCATCAGCTTTCACTTTGTCACAGGACATCTGAATAGCAGAAGAAATTAATCTATTTCATAATAATCCAGAGGGGGAAGGAAACACTTATAACTGTATGGACACAGGGATGGACTCTAAATTAGCTGCTGTACCTTGGGGAAAAGGTCCTGGAATCCTTCAGAGAGTTCTATGAAAATGACACAATTAAAGAGAAACACAAAAGACAAATCAGATTTAGACTGCCAGTACCTGCAGGACTAGTTCCAAATGCAGGAAGCTACAGGATGTTGTGTTTGGGAATTCTGAAAGGCAGCAGAGAAGAGAACTTGCCTTCAACCAAACAGGAAATGTTGGCTTCTAGCTCCCAGAAGCTGGGTTTGGGAACACCTGCCCAAGAATGTCTGTGTGCACAGAACACTCAGGAGAACTTCCCGAGCCTTCAGGCAGCTCCCTGCTCCCTCAGCACTGCTGAGTGGGGGGTTCTTTTCCCTCTGGTGTCACTTGTAACACAGCTGCTCTATTAATAGAGCTCCTGATGCCAGCTCACTGCGAGCCCTCACGGAAATGTGTCACTGGCTCAGCTTCCCCTCAGCTCCCAGCACTCCCCCTGCATCAGTCTTTAAAATGATCTGTACCCTCAAACAGCCAGACACTTATTTCGTGTGTCAGAAATGCCTTAATCTCAGCAAATCTCCTTTCTGAAGCTTCTCCATTTTTAAAGGAAGATTAAGGTTCTAAATCCAAGCTCTGCCTCCATCCCCTTGGAGAGGGTAATGGTGCCTCACAGCAGCTCAGGTTCAGGAACTGGAATATGTCACCATGTTACTGTTGTTGGAATCTGATGGGATCTGACATGCTGCAAGAACTGTAAATACTCTGAGTCCTCTGAATACCAACCTGGTGAAAATTTTGCAGTCAGGATAGAATCCAGAGGTGCTGAGCACATCTGTGAGAATCCAAACACATCCACAGGACTAAGAACCCACAGCAAAGAAGCAGCAGTTTGGCAGCAGCAGTTAAAGCCAAAGACACTGAATTCCATATGCCATTAATTATTTTTTGAAAAGAAATATCCTGCTAAATTCTTTAGGATGGCAATGATGAGGTAAATAAAATGAACAGTGGCCAGTGTGAGCTCTGGTATTTAAATTTTTAGAAACTGGAATTGTTTCCTATCCCTGAGCTATGTTTGTATTTGTATATGTTTTGTAAAACTTGCTGGGATAAAGCTTTTAGCATCAGATGTTGTATAAAACACCATGTGAAATTCATTCAATACCTTCATCATTTGGAGAAAAATGTACCTGGGGAGGAGAGATATGGACAGGAAGCCCAAGCACTCTCACCTTAATTAGCAAGCACAGGAATTCTTGTCCAGAAATTATTCAATCAGTGATCCATGAAGCAGCCACCTGCCTCAGTAACCCCCCTCCTGGACAGGAATAGCTTCCCACAGAACGGGAGCTCGGAGTGTCACAGCACTGCTGTCACCAAGGGGGGCATTGCCTCACAAGCTCATTTCCTCCTGGAGCAGCTGGCAGCTCCCAGGGGGACAGGGGGGGACCAGACCTGCACTGCAGCAGCACTGTGAGGTCCAGCCTGGACAGCAGGAGGGAACAACAACCCTGCTCAGCTTTTCCACTGCCACTGACTGAAATCCTGAAAGATTAGACTTGGATTAATGTTGGTTACCTGGGCAGGAACTTGAGCTGTGCACTGAAGGATGACTGGGGCTGGATGTAGCCTGTTTTTGGAAGCAGCTCCATGTGCTTGCTCAGTTCTCTGCACACCTCAAACTTCAAACGCAGCGTGGTGGTTGCTCTGCAAACACATCAGACGTGCTTGGGTGGCTTTGAGGCCACTTCAGTGACTCTGGAGTCTGAGCCCTCCTGCCCCCACCCCTGCACTGTAATCAGAACAATCCCAAGCTTCCTTTGAAAATGATGGGCATGGAAAACTGCCACAGCAAGCTCACACAGTTGTGTTCTCTTTTAAGTACAGAAAACAAGCTTGGAAGTTCTGTAACAAACCCAGCTGTAGCAAACAGTGCACAAACTGATCCAAAGAGATCTGTCAGAGCTCAGCACAGCTCAGTCAGGTCAGGGGCACTCAAAGCCAAGCTATTGTGAAATATCAGCTGATTCTTTGCTCCTAACACTGGTTCTATCAATAGGATGACTGAAGCTTGGTGATTTCTTTAAACAGATGTAACCTGTCCTCCAGCAGCAGGGATCCTGCAGGGCTGGAAGTCACAGCGTGGCTGAGCTGGTGCTGCCAGCTCCTCTGCTAAACCTTGGGATCAATTTGCCCTGGGAATGGCACATTGGAAGCCAGGAATCCTCTGCCTGTCTATGAATTCTGGCCCTATCATAGCACAGCAACAGCCATGGATCATCCCCTGCTTTGGAATTTTATGCCTAAGTGCAAAATTGCCGAGCAATTTACAAATATTTCAGCTTGTCATTCTCCTTCCCCTGGACTGGTTTCCAAGCTGTCAGGCCAGATGGTCTCCTCTAAATCAACAGCTACAGCAAGTGGGGCTGGGAGCCTGCAATGATTTCTGACTGTTGACAATCTAAGAGAATTATATACTACTTCATTAAATCAGTGCAGATTATAACCTGCCGAAGAAATTACTTTTTAAAATTATTTCTATTGAACACAATTCTGATAAGACACTTTCACCCTTTATGCTGCTTATTTTTGCTGCCTGATTAACACAGTCTTCTTGACCAGAAAAAAACCCAAACAACCCAGAGCAAAACCAATATTAGCAATATTTTAATATTCACCAGAGCTTGCTGGGACATTCCAGTTCCAGAGGTATCTGACTCACTTGGAAACTTTATTTTCCCCTTGTGCTACAGCCTACAAGTCACAGCCAGTGGCTACAGGCAGGCTGCAGGAGGAATCCTCCTGACACACCAAGGGGAGTGTCAGCAGCTCCTGGAGGAAGAATCTGCTCAGGCCACAACAGAAGGATGGAATCAATCCATATTTTCAGGATAAAACGTTGACACATGGTATTTCTGCACATGAAATATACTGAATTTCAGCCCACCTGACTGTCTAACAGGAAATTTTTCCTGTTTATGGAAACTGGGAGATAACCAAAGCCTTGACTTGCCAAGGTGCTAAGGACAGACTACTACATATTAAGTGCTCTTAATTTAGTGAAACTTGGCAAAGGATCAGCAGGATTTTTCCCTCAGTTAAGAAGTTTTGCCCTAAGCAATTTGACAGCTTCCATCTTTGAGATCCCCTTGAACTCTTAAGTTTCATTAGGAGAGTTATTCTGCTTCTGTACTTGTAAGTTTTATCCCTGGGTTATCTAGACCAAGTAAAATCACTTACATAACAACTTGTGCTTGTCATATCTGTAAGCTGAATTTCTGAGATAACAGCTTTACTCATTTCTTTCCAACTGTGAAGAATCTCTGCAGTCTGTAATTCTGGTAAGAGGTTTAGAATGGATGCCTTCCACAGAACCAATCTCTCCCCCACCCTCCCACAAACCCACCCCAATCCTATTGAAATAGACTCTAAGAAATGCAAATTGTTAAAATAAGAATTCCATAGTGACTGCATTAGGTGGAGGGAAGACACCCAGCACCTGAAGACAATTAAATGTTCCCATAACTACTTTTAATAGCAGGAAATCTCCAGAAGCCAAGGAGCTGGAATATTCCCTTTATATCACAGTGCAAACAGAACCAGTCCTCAGACATGACTGACTTGGACTCTGAAACACCCAGATATTCTCCCTGTCAATCACTGTCTGCTCACTCTGTGTAATCAGGGGGATCTGTCCTTCCACCTTAATGCCTCCATGGGTCAGGAAAAGCTGCACCTTCCCCATTTTAGAGTGAATGCAAAAGGCCTGACATGATTTATCCAGCATCTAGCCCCAGGTCTGGGAAGACTCTTGTGAAACTGGCTTGCAGATCCTAAGTCCACCCAGGACTTTAATTGAATGCAAAATAGCTGAGAAACAAAAAAAATATTCTTCCATAAAATTCCCTGGCTGAATCAACCCATTGTACACTTAATTTTAGATACATTTATCTCTCTAAATGTTTAGTGTGCAAATTCCACAGGAGGAAACTGTGGATTTGCTGTTCCCTAGGGGCTTCACAGCTCTCCCCAAGAACAGGAACAGCACTGGGAATCTGGCAGGGGTGGGGAGGTGTGTGGCTGCCTCATAGGTGTTGGGAGTCCGGCTTAGCAGGATGCCCAAATTTTCCAGAGCTCAGAGGGCTTTCAGGATGTGCCCCTGCAGTGCCAGGGCCAGGGGCAGCCAGGGCAGCTCAGCTGCAGTGCCAGGGGCACCCAGGGCAGCTCAGCTGCAGTGCCAGGGGTACCCAGGGCAGCTCAGCTGCTGTGCCAGGGGTACCCAGGGCAGCTCAGCTGCAGTGCCAGGGGCAGGGGCAGCCAGGGCAGCTCAGCTGCAGGGCCAGGGGCACCCAGGGCAGCTCAGCTGCTGTGCCAAAGCCAGGAACACCCCAGGGCAGCTCACCTGCTGTGCCAGGGACAGAGGCAGCCAGGGCAGCTCAGCTGCAGTGCCAGGGGTACCCAGGGCAGCTCAGCTGCAGTGCCAGGGGTACCCAGGGCAGCTCAGCTGCAGTGCCAGGGGTACCCAGGGCAGCTCAGCTGCTGTGCCAGGGGTACCCATGGCAGCTCACCTGCTGTGCCAGGGGTACCCAGGGCAGCTCAGCTGCTGTGCCAGGGGCACCCAGGGCAGCTCAGCTGCTGTGCCAGGGGTACCCAGAACAGCTCACCTGCTGTGCCAGGGACACCCAGGGCAGCTCAGCTGCAGTGCCAGGGGTACCCAGGGCAGCTCACCTGCAGTGCCAGGGGTACCCAGGGCAGCTCACCTGCAGTGCCAGGGGCACCCAGGGCAGCTCAGCTGCTGTGCCAAAGCCAGGGACACCCCAGGGCAGCTCACCTGCTGCGCACCTCCACGCTGTCCTGGTACAGCCGCTCGTACAGGCAGATCCTGAGGTCCACGCTGGGCTGGGGCACCCAGATGGGCACATCCTCAGAAACTCCAATGGCACTGAAGCTCAGCTGGCAGGGCAGCAATGGCAGGGGATTAGTTCTGTCAGTCTCAGATTCTTACTGACTTACAGCAAGGATTTCTGCTATAAATTCAGCTGAGTAAAATATTTTATTATTTGTAGTGCAACAGGTTCTTTAATGAGGTAGATCTAGGAAAATCATTTGCAAAGTAAACCCAAGATGTCACAGTGCCCCAGCAGAAAAACACAATTATACTTTGGGTTGGATTCCTTGACAGGGAACATGAAAGAAGAGCATCTGCCCATGATATTTAAAAGTATTTTAAGTGCCTTTAGCTGAAGGGAATGGGCCCCAGTCCAGGCTCCCCAGGGGCTGCAGCTCATCCAGGCAGCACAGAAATGCAGGAAAGGCAGCACAGGGCTGTGCCCCCTGCAGTGCCCGGGCCTGGCACCAGGGCCACAGAGCTCAGCCCTGCAAAGCTGATCCTGGAGGAGAAGGTGCCCACGGGAGCCTCAGCAGGATCTGCAGCTCCTTCTGCAGCCCGAGGGACAGCCAAGACTGGCTGCTGAGCTGCTGGCAAGTTTGTCTTTATTTTTTTGGCAAGCTTCTGTGAACTGTTCCAAGCAGAATTTGGCTTCCAATAAAATTTAGAATGACAATATGCTGAAGTGGTAACTAAAGTGGTCATCTCTTCCAGCTTTCACACATCAGCTTCACTACTGCCTGATAAATAATTCCAATTCTGATAGATCAGAAAGAAAATAAACTAGGTGGGTTGGAAATAAGGGAGAATACTTTCACATTTATTTCCAGGACATGACATGTTTTCCAATAGGATGTCTGAGAAAATGGGAATATCAGGATTATTTGCATAGAAATTAAGAGAATTAGCAGGTTTAATAAACATCCTGCATCAGAAATAAGAGCTATGACTTACAAAGCTACCTCCATAAAATCACCTAATACATAATTCTTGAGAAGAGCACAAATGAGAAGATTTTAAACTATTTCACATGTTTTGAAGAAGGTCACTCACTGGTTTGCAGTCTGGGTTGTCAAACACGATCACAAACTCTGCCCTCACGTTCCCAGGGACAGCTGGGACAAACAGGACTGGGATTTTCACTGAGCTGAAGGGTCCAATCTCACCCTCAGTCACCTGAGCAACAACAGTGAAACTCTAGAAATTGCATTGAAATGAAGAGGCAGTACCCACTCACTTACACACACTCCACCACACCTGGTTTGTAACTAAACTGAACTCACTGTGCACAGGGAAAATCAGAATCAGAACAATAATGTGGCTCAAATCTGACATTTCCCAGACATTCTTCCTGCCCCTTCTTGTGTGTTGTCACCAGACTTTGTTTAACCACAAAACCACATAGCAGAAATAAAGAATTAATTGTGGCAAATGTGAATTGCCACAAAAAGTTCTATGTTAAAGGGTTTTAACCTTTTTTAGAACAAAAGGTTAAACTTTTTGTTTCTATAGATCAAAAGAAAGGGGGAAAGTGTGCTGTGATTTCACTTTAAGAATTAACTGTGACTCAGTGATGTCCAGTGGGCTTGGAATGACCATGTACCTGAGCATTTCTCATCAGAGCAATTTATTTGATGTAGGCTCAGCCTAGTGAGATCTTGCCTGGATCTCAGGACATTCATTACCTTTCCAAGCATAATTTCAATTGGCATTTCTTCAGGAGAAAGTCCCACTAAATTATTTTTCTTGTCTCTGTCCAGATCTGATCTGGTATTTAATTTTCCTTGACCAAGTTGTTCTGGGGAAAGAAAAAAACACAAAACAAAACAAAATGCTGGATGTGTCCATCAAAACCAATATCCAACAAAGCACAAGTACATTAATTTGAGTCAATATTGCAAATCCATGCATGTATAGCCATGATGGGAAAATTGGAATGTCTGGAAGGAAATATTTGTTTGGCCATCCAGCTTTAGTCTAGTTTGGAATTCTACCTGAGCCTTCCACTGAGTAACAACACGAATGGTTCAAAAATACAGACTCAGCTGGAAGTGGGGATGGCCTTCAAGAGCAGTTTCAGTGGGATAAAGGAACACAGCCAGAAGGACCTGCAAAAACCACCCACAACCTTTCCATGGAACTTTCAGCTTCCTGAAATTGGAATGATCAGTATTGGGAAGAAATGTTAAAGAACATAGATAAGAAACAAATTAAGAAAGTTTTTCTTCTACAAGACTGGATTTTATTAAGCACATAGTAAACATTAGGAATGAGATGGAAAATGTCTGAGGAGGTTCATCTTTCTGCTTCCTTGTTCCTAGAATTACAGACTATAAAAATAAACCTGTCATGTGGATTGCTATTCTGAGAAGTGGGGATTCAGTTGCTGAGACAAGGATGATGTTAACAATTTTGCAATTTCTGAAGCTGGTTGGGTTCTGTGTTCTTCTGAGTCTGAATTGTTGATCACTAATGAGCAGTGAGGTTCTCTGCTGCTTTTGATATAATGGTGTCAAGACATTATTTTTAGTCATTTTCCGTGAGGCAGCATACAAAGAAATATAATGTTACTCCTGGAGTGATGAGCTACTTAATTTACTGAGTAACTCTGCAGACTGAATTGCTCAGTTCTTTACAGGAGACTACAGCTGGATAAATCCTGGCCTGGGGAAGTGCAGGGCTGTGTTCCAAAGCATCACCTCACCTGTGGCTCTGCTGTCCTTGGGCTCCTGGGCTGCACAGGGGGTCATCTCCCCCCTGGGCTCAGCACAGCTCTTGTTTGGGTCCCCAGCTGCCACAGAGGCTGTTCTGCCTTCCTTTTCAGGGTCACAGGCCCTGGGGTGTTCAGTGATCTATTAGGAAGCACAGAGAGGGATTTTCTCCCATGGCTGCTCTTCTGCTCTGCACCAGCTCCAGTTCTACCCAGCAAAAGTTTTATGTAAATCAGATTTGTGTTTTCTTGCAACAGTTCCACGTTATAAATGGATAAATGTGTTGCACTTTCCAAGAACTGCACATTCTACAAGACCTTTATCAATGAGCAGATTGAATTTTTTGCTGGCTGCCCCAAACAGGTAAATAATGTAACAGGAGCAGTGAAGTGTAGAGCCAGCTACTTTACAATTAACAAAACCAACATTTTTCTAGTGGAAACCCAGGCAGTTTTATGTCAAAACTAAGTCTGGTGAAACCAGCCCTCTCTTTATCACACCCCTCACTTGATTGCTAGTTTTGCAGCAGTTCACATGTTTCTGCCTTCCACGAGTTGAGATTTTTAATGACTCTGTCAGAATCTCCTGTTTTAACTGAAGTATTTTCTCCTAATTGTCATGAATGTGGAGAAAATAGGAATCATGACATAAATTACTAAAATATTTTAAAAAATCAGCATTGCTGATTTCCCCATGCCTCACAAGATAATTGCTTCTGCATTCCAATATTTGGGTCTAACAGACTATATTTATACCAACCCAAATGTACTGAAGGTTGGACCAGATGATCTTCCCAAGCCCTCTCTGACCTGAGCTGCTTTGTGACTCTGCACAACTCCACCACACTCCCCAAAGCAGAACATTTCCATTCCTTCAGGGAAGTGCTTTGGAACCCACCACTAGTGCAGGAGCAGCTTTTACTGTTGCTCTGAGGGTGCTGGTGGCACCTGCTGACGTCTGAACTTTGAATGTGGCTCCCAGGGCCCCGCTGTTTGTCAGGCTGATGGTCTGTGAAATTGTTTCTCCCACCACAAGGCTGCCAAAGTCAATGAGCTTCTTATCCAGAGCCAGCTGTGAGAAGATAAACCATTAATTACCACTGGCCTACATAGCACTAATGTCAATTAAATGAGCATCAGCTTTTTATAATAATAATAATTATATTATCCACATGCTTAAAAGAAGTCCCTTACCATGCAGGTCTTGACTGTGCATTTCAGTGGAACAGAAAAAGAGCCTGTCTGGGCCATAAACATGACTTCTCCTTCTAGCCCTTTATTTATCTAGAAAACAAAAGAGAAAAAAAAACCCTAAGTCATTGAAAAAAATCCTAAGTAATTAAAAGAAGATTTAGCCTGACAAAAAATATTTTCACTCATTCTCTGAGCACCATATTAAAATGTATCTTTACTGATTCTATGTTTCCATTTTAAAACGGTCTTTGTGACAGCTTGGTTAACTTTAGCTGGGCAAGATTATAAATATTTGGAAACTTGCTCTCATTTGGAGGCATTTTTCCAACCATGCCCTCAGAATTTGCCTTATGACAATTTATCAGAGCTTGAACATGCACACAGCTGTCCATGTGCAACAGTAGCTCTTCTAAAAATGTAGGGTTTTTTTCTTGTTAACAGTTAAGAAATTCAATTAATGATGTTTTTAATCAGACTAATGGCCTGTACTAGGATTCTCCTCACTGTGCACTTACCATTGGCTTAAATGTTACCAGGAATTCACAGGACATCCCAGAAGACATTTTGCCAGGTGGGTCAAAACTGTGGAGATAATTAACATAAAACTCCAAATTAAAGCTGTGGATGGAACACCCAGCTCCTGCTCTGGTAACAATGGCAGATTGCTTTTTCCCCCCCCTCACTTGGACTAATTATCAGAAAAGTCAGAATGAGTGACAGATTAATGAAAGGCTCCAGAACCCTGCTGCAACTGGGAAACAACAAAGGCTGATTCTTTATTAAGGTTTTATTCAGAAAGACTCAAAGTGCTTTTAAAAGGCAAGAGAGGGACTGCAGCCAAGGAGGTGAAGCTGAGGCTGAAAACCAGCAAGAAGAGGTGGAACTGCCCAGTCAGACAATTAGGAAGCAACTTGTGCCATTATCCATTTTAATGCTGCTCTGTAACATCTCCCCTGTCCAAACACAAAATGAAGAGGAAAAACTCAAGGAGGGAGCTGCAGATGATTAGAGAATGTGCTGCTTGTTGCCAGCTGTATCAAAATTATCTTGAATAGAATCTGCCACTCATTTCATGGTCTGTGTGAGGCAGGGAAAGTGCCCATCAGAAGACAAGACATTTCACAGCTGCACTGTAAATGAAATTCTTGAGGCACTCCTGGAGCCCTGCTCTGCCTGGCAGAGGAGCCAGAGGAGATAAGGAAGTGTTGTCAGCCATGGGAGCCCCTAAGCCAAGTGAGACATGGAACACAACCTTCACAGCTTTATCACGGCAAAATTAAACTCAAACCAAAGCAAAATGAAACTTTTTCAGAAAGGGAAACAAAGAGTTCAGAATTCAGGAGCTTAAAATGTGGACAGGGAATAAGCACCTGCATGCTGACCTTCTGAACAGATCCCTGGCAGTTTCTCCTGAGAAAGACTTTAAGGAATGGTTCTTTATTTCAAAAGTTACCTTGGTAAAATAGTTCTGATTTAGAGCACAAACTGCCAGACACACAAACCCACACAGAACCACTCTGCTAAGGAGAGGCTCCATGGGTGTAATACTGCTCATTTGAACCACTGGAATAAAGCTTTTTATCAGCAGATCCAGGGCCTGTCACTGATAACAGCTCTCAAGTGTTGTATCTGTAAATACCTGTAACACCATGACAGTGTAGATGTGCTGGGTATTTTCAAAATACTTGGCAAAACTATTTTGTAACAAACAATTTATTTCTGGTTCTACCTGAGATAAGCTTTATAGGGTGTAGGATCAGTGTCCACAGGTCTGTGCTCTGCTGATCAAATTATTAATAACATAAAAATGAGAATAACATCTTAGATTATTTTTGCTAGCTATCCTGCTGGCAAATGTATGGGTAACCAATTGAATTTTAAAAAGTTAATTAATTTATCCTATATTGAAAAATCATTCACGACTCTTTGATATTTGGAGAGTACTTTGAAAGGCAATTACAGCAAAGAAAGACTCAGGCCTTTCAAAAAGCATTGTTTAATTTTTGGTCAAAACCCAGAGGTGCTGATTTACCATATGCAATTATCCAACATACTAAATGAGAGAAAAAAATCAATCTTTGGGAGCAGGAAACCCTCATTTTGTCGGATTAGTAGCTTCAGGCTTTGTCACAGAAATTAAACACGTGTAAGTGGGTCAAAATTAAATCCACACACGTGATTTTGAACCAACCATGAGCTACACATGGAGTTAAGCAGCAGGTTTAGGAGCTGAAGGGCTCTGCTGTGTCCTGCTCAATTTTTCACCTCCACCAGGCTGGGAATGAAGTGCTCCACACCTCCCCCAGTCCACCACAGCAGCTGGATCCAGACTTTTCCAGCTCTCCAGGGATGTTGTTCAGTCAAGAACTCTCTGTTCACATTCCTGGGGACTCTTGTGGGGACCAAGTGGGCAAGGAATGGCTTCACCTTGGAGCATCCTGTCCTTATGGGGCGATGCAGAAATTCCAGGTGTGCTTTATCCCCACAAGGACAGTGGGCAGGGAGCTGGGAAAGGAGCTCTGGAGTGTGAAATCACTCACAGTGGTGAAACAACTTGGTTATTCACAGGGGTGTCATTAAACTGTCCCACGGGTGGCTTCTCCAGGTCAGCAGGAGGGTTGAAACCTGAACTTCTCCTCAAGCCAAAGGACTTCACCTCCATGTCTCCTATTTGTCCATAAGCTTTACTTACACACAGAAATTTTAGCATTTTTTCACTTTTAGGCTATACTACAATAATTTTTTGTTTGTTTATTTCACGGAATTCCAGGTAAATAAATTCTTTTCATAACTTCATTTTTTTTAGAGAAATACTACTTTTCACAACTTGCTTTTTGGTTAAAGACTCAGTGCACCTCCAGAGAGAGCTGGTGTCTGAATTCTTACAAAGAAACACTTTGTGGATACCTCCTTTTGTTTATTTATAAGCAGTGAGATAAAATTATCAATATAGTTAAACTGAGATTAATTTGCAATCTCCCAACTAGACATAGTGTTTCATTAGATAACCTGGCAGTAGGATTACAGGAATAGATTGATGGGAAGGAACACAGGATTGCAATTTAAGTGCTCTTTTCTCTGAGATTGATTTCCTTTATTTCATCATTTTTTTCCCTTCCTTTTCTGTTGAATTAAACTGTGTTTATCTCAAGCCACAAGTTTGACTTTTTTCCCCCCCAGTTTTCTCCCCCATCCCACTGGAAGGAGTGAGGAGCTGCTCTGTGGAGTTTCTCTGCCTGCAGGGTTAACCCACAACAAGCAGAAATTTCAGTTGCTGCAGAACTGGGCTCCAGCTCTTGTGGTACAAAGGTAAAACAAGTCTGCAGTGAATTTACTTACTGAACACTGATGAAGTCCTTGAGCCATTCACTGATTCCCACCAACCTGCAGTAATTAACACTGTAGGATGCATTTGTCAAAACAATCTTCTTTTTGTAGATTTGACCAACATCAAAATCCTTGGAATGCCAAACACACCAGGTGAATGTCAGAGACATGATGTCATGTTCATGGTCTGAGTGAGTTATTAACAGTTTTATTAACTAACTGAAATTTACCTGCATGGGAATCACCACTTCTTTAAGGACATTATTTTACAGTAATAATATATTTACAAACAATGTATAAGTACCAGTCATGCTGCCCTTCAAAAAACACACAACACAGTCCAACAGGAGGCTTGATCATCTGCTCACATTTCTGACAATATTTAGACTGCCCTAAGCAAATAAGTATTTTATAGTTTAAATAGTAAAACTAACTAGTTTATTTAATCCATCACTTAACTAAGAGGTTGTTAGAAAAAAAGGCAAGAGCTGTCTCAAATTTCACTACAGACCTCTTAAAGGCTGCAACAGATTTTCCATCAAGACATTGGGATATACCTCCAGCAGATACCTCTCTACAATTCATGCAGAATGGCCACTGACCTTGAAATGAATGCAGCTGGGTTTGCTTTGGAAAGCACAGCCCTTATGTTCCTGAGCAGCCACAGTTTGCTTGTGAAGAATTCTAGTTTGGAGTTTCTCCATTTTTTTCTCAGCAATTTGTTTCCTCATTGCCCTGATAGCCAACAGTGCTGGATCTCCTGCTTTGGGCACCTAGAAAGGACCATGCAGAAAAGCCACCAGATCTGTGTGTGACCACAGGATCTGCAGCTCCAGTAGAAAAATCTGCAAAAGGAATCTTCCAGCACCTGGCCAGCCTTTGTCTGGCTCTCTCCAGTCAAACTCAGCATCCCAACCTCAACATGAAGAATTTAATGGATTCTCAGCTGTCTGTTCTGCAGTTTATCACCACTCAACACTATAAAATTGTGTTTTTCATGGCAGAATTAGCTTTTCTGCACTTTAAGTTTTTGGATTTTTTTCCTTCTCAACTTATTAAACATTGAGAAAAATAATCAGCTGACTTCACTGGAGTGTTTCAGTCATGGTCCAGTGCTTCTCCATGCAAGTCTAGGAATATGTACTGACATGATTTCTTTTTGATGGATTTTGAAGTTCTTTTAAACTCAAAGAAGTAAACATAATGTGATTTATGTCTTCACAGATTTCTGAACTAAACCTAAAGCACTGTTTTCTCTTTGAGAGAACAAACTCCTCCAGAACAGTGTGAAAGAGCAATGACTGATGATATTCTCACATCTGAATTTCTGCATCTATGTAATAACACAATGTCTGCATTTTAACTGCAAAATACATAATTACTGGTTTCAAGCAAGGTTTTTTTCTGTTTCTATCAAGAGACATCACAAGGTTTACCTTGTACAAGTCATATTTCCGACTCCAAAGTCCTGGGAACTCTGGTACCAGGAGAGTCTTGTCCCTCTCTGTGTCCTCAGCAGCACTTTCCAAGAGCACATCCTGGGATCTGTTCTTAGACCTCACTCCTTGGGGAGCACTTCTCTCCCCAGCCACGGAACAAACTGATAGAGAGCACCATGGCTTTGGTGAAAGAACACAAGTTTTGAAGATACAGCTAAAAATTGCTAGTTATTCAACAGTTATTATTGCTAGTTAATTCAACAGTTATCAATTTCTGAGGAGATCTTTTAACACAAAAATTACAGGTCTTTGGCTTTTTGGCCTCTTGGCTCAGAGGCAAAAGATGCCAACTTAGGCCAATCCCCTCTTAAAACACTGAATACAGACAGAATTTTATGTTAAAAGTCACTATATTTCCTTCAAGAAAAAGGAAACTAACAGATATTAAGAGATCTGATGGGGAAATTACTCTCCACTTGTTCTTTACTGTCTCATGTTTGGTTGTAGCCTGTGCTATTTTTAAACAGAATTCAATGACCTGCACATTTAACAAAACAAAACAAGACAATCTAAAGAGAGTTGACTCCTAGGCCTTTGATTACCTGTGATATTTCTCTATCTGCATGTTTGCAGCTCTCCTCACTTTGCCAGGCTTTCCCACTCTGCAGTAAAGGACTCTCAAGTTTACCACGAGCCTTAATTGCCTTAGTAGGGGACTGACTTTTTCTCTGCTTGTGAATAGCATCTCTTTCTTGCAAAATTCGAGACACAATCTCCATTTTTCTTGACTTCTGCAGTTCTCTAAAAGCTCTGTAATCCAAAGTTGTAAGAAATATTAACCCAACCATGGTTGTTTAACAATAATATTAACGACAACCCAGTTCCCTTGGAGCCTTTTAGCTAAACAGCAAGTCTTTAAGTTGGGTTCAGTGGTAATTTGTGCCAAGACACCAAGTGATTCAGAGGCTGTTTATACATTTTTGCAGACTAAATATACTCAGTTACAGTGTTTTAGAAGGCTGATACAGACTTTCACAGTGTTCATGGGAGGAAGAAGGACAGTTACTTCAGGTTTCCAGTTTGGGGTCACTGAACTCCCCTCCTGGAGGCGTGGATCACAGAACACCCACGGGGCTCTGGTGCTCTGAGCACCCCTAAGGCAGGAGTTCAGGGCACCAAGAACAGGCTGTGCAAGTGTCACACACAGAGTGGGAGAGGGAGTTCACTCCCTCCAGGCGCCATCAGAGATGTTCTGCCTTCAGGATCTGACTGAGCTCCAGGGAGCAGGCAGAGTCTGATATGGATATGATACTCACTCTTTCTTTTTTTCGTGTTCTTGCTGTCGTTTATGGAGAAAAATTTCCCTAATAACATTGCCTCCTTCTGCTAGGATGGCCTCCTTCATTTTCATCTCCTCCTTCTTTGCCTCCAAGGCCTTTGCTTTGTTCAAAATCTGGAGAGTTTGGAGCCTTTCCTATGAAAGTCACACAAACCAGTTACATATTTGATTCACACATTAAAGAATATAAAACAGAGAATCTAGTGCTGGTCCCCTTATCCAAGTATCCATTTGTGGTGGATGTCTCTGAAGCAGAAGGTATTGTCTGTAATATTCTCTGTAGCCATGGGGTGCTGAGATGCAGAAAGCTCTCACTAGGTCCAGGCTACTTCTCTACCCTTCCAGCCTTCCCCTGGAATGCTGCTCAGTGAAGGAATATGAAAAGATAACAGTTCTAAACAAATCAGGATTAAATTAAGATCATTCCCTCATATTCTACAGAACATAAATAGAAAAGCAAAGCAGCATGGCTCAGAAATTCCTAATTTATACTATTTAAATTCTCAAATAACTGTTTTTCTTCCATATGTTTTCTCCATGTGGAATATTTCTGCATTGGGATCTAAATAACTGGAAATCCTTCTGGCTGAACTTCCAGAGAACTTTTTTTAGTATGCTTTATTTCCCAGAGAGTCCCCCTCCCAGAACAACTAGACTGTTGACAGAATAAACTGCATCAGCAGAAGTGTCAAAACCTGCCCACACAGATCTCATGCCATCCCTGCAATGGTTAAATTCTCCCCAGTTTTGAGGGGTTTGGTCAGTGATGTGATCAAAAATCACCACACAGCTCTGCAGGGAAAACTGAGCTGACTTGCATTAGAGCCCAGCAGCCTCCCAAGTGAGTGACTTCATTCCCATCCCAGCCCAGCAGCAGTACCCTGTTGGAAGTGATGCTGGTTTTCAGGGAAAGCACAGCTTGTATCCTTCTCTCCATATGCTCCTGAGCTTTCGCTTCTTCCTTTGCATTTTTTTCATGAATTCTGTAAGCAAAGTTAAATCTTTCAGGCTCTCATCCTGGAAAGCTCCTGGTAATAGAATGTCTGAGCTGAAAAGGAGTAATTGCCAGCAGGCATTGCTGCTGCACACCCCTGGTTGGTGGGCACTGGCTGTGGGCACAGGAGAGCAGCTGCAGACTCCTCCAAACACGGCACTGCTCAAGCTCCAAGTGCCAACAGGTTTTCAAATATTTTGCTCAACAACTTTAATTTTTTTAAATTTTGGATATGAAGAATGTGTTTCATGTTATGACATATGACTGGCTGCTAAAATAAAGAATTCAGGTGTTGCTCATATAAGCAGTATCTAAACCTTATGTAGCAAACTTTTACAAGCCAAGCACATGTACCCACACTAAAAATAAACCTTGAAACTCTACAAGTTGGAAATGTGTGGGCAGGAATCAAACTTGGGAATATTTCAGCAAATATAATGGGAAACCAGGAAAAAATATAAGATTGATATGTTTGCTATACTTGTAGGAAAAAAATCTATTTGATTTTGTTTTTCTTAATTATGATCAGTTTGTACGCACCATCTAATAAAAATAAAACAACACAGAAACAGTAAAATTATTTCAATCATTTTACAATTAAGTCCTCATATTTATGTATTAGGATATATTTACACATATGTAAAAATAAGTAATGAATGTTCTGTTTCTTCAGCAGCAAAATAATTCAACACCAGAGTAACAACATAAACATCAACCTATGAAAGAATATATAATTTAAAATCAACCAGAGCAGCAGCACAAAGAAATTGCCCATCAATCCATTGATGCTTTTTTACCATGTTTCTGAGGGGACATAGAATGGCACAGGACAGGTTTCAAACCTGGATTTTAGTTATACTACTACAGTTAATAACACACACAGATTTATAAAGTGCTTCAAATCATTATCAATGACTCCAAGTGCTCAGAGCCCTCATGACAGAGACTCCAGGGAATCTGGAGGCCATGCTAGGACACCGAGTGGATTTTCTTCTTTCCACATCCTTTTTGCTCGTAAGATCCCAATGCCTCACCACACTGTACCTGGCAAGAGACTTCCAGGCGAAACAGAAGACACAACTTACAGAAAAATCATTATTTTTCAGAGACTGGAGGATAAATTCTTGCCCAGCAGAGAATGCACAAGAGGAAAGGAGTGAAGCCCCACCTTGCCATGCTTTGCCTCAGGAAGCAGACTGCTTTCTCATGGTTCCTTTTGGCATCCTCGAGGAGTTTTTTATTTCTTTCTTCACGTTCTCTCCGGGCTTCCTCCTCTCTTCTGCAAAACACAGACAAACCAACAGTTGCAGCAGGACTAAGGAAAACTTGATTCCAACACAGTGAGACCTCAGGGTGGGGTTGGGGAGTTTATTAATATGTACTGAAATTAGGACATTTGTTCACTCTCCCATCCCCCACATTATAGACAAAGTGATAAACTTCACAAAAGCCACAGACTGACAACTTTTGCTCTGCTTTTGGAGGTCACTTTTGTGCTTTTTGGTGTCTGCTTCTGCTCTAGGATATCTCAATGGACTTCACCATAAGCCCAGAAGGTCCTGGAGGCCAACAGGACTGCAGACACGTGCAGTTAGTCTGACCCAATAAACCTCATTTCCTGTGATAAAACCCCCCGCATTTCTATTTTTTTTTCATTTTCATTAAGTTTCTTCCCATAGATCAGAAATCTTTACTTGCATAACTGCAAGGCTGTGGCCAATTCTTATTTTAATTCCATTTCCTCATCAAATATTCCTGAAGCACACCCAGCTAAGACACACAGTAGCACCAGTATCTGAACTAGCTAATCTCAGCAGAGAACTGGCTGAAAATAAAACAAGAAAGGCAGCAGGCTCTGACTTTGAGGCTCTTACTTCTCTCGAGTCCGACGTGTTCCTTCTGCTTCCAGGGCTGTTATTTTTTCCTTCCAAATCCTCACTTCTCTCTCCTCCTGGTATTGCATCTGTAGCTCCTCCTCATCTTTTTGAAGTTGTTCACGGAGGATGTCGCATTTTCCCTGTTCACTTTCTATCTGCCACAGCTCAACCCTTTAAAAAAAGTGTGGATTGTTTTCACTGCAATACTGATATTCTTTCACTTTAAGGTGATAAATTGAGTAGGGAAGGCTCTATGGGGTAAATAAACATGTAACCATGCTTTCTTTTATTGTTTAAAAACACATTTTTAATCAAACCCTTTTGTTGACACAGACTAAGGCTCATATGGCTCATATCTAATATTATATCCCTTTCAAAGACATCAAAAATATTGTTCCAAAAAAGGTAAAAAAATAAACCTCAAGTATGTTTTTCTCCCATTTACCTAGAAGAAAATATGAAAACCAAGAAAAATTCTAAAAATAGCTTTTCCTTCAACAATAAATAACTTCAGGGATAGGGCACAGCTTTTATTTTTCCGTGCTTTGCTGAAGGAGCCAGATAGGATAGAGCTGAGTACATTAATCTGTTCTGTGTATTGCTAATCACACAATAAACAAGTCAAGCATTTTAAAGCTATTACACAACACTGCAGCAGAACACACTGTATCCTGGTTAACCACTTGGCTAATCACAGCTAGAAGCTCGTGCCTGTGTTCCTCCTTTGATGTACCTGTGGTACCAAAATATAAACACACTCACCTGTTGCCTCCTGCAAAACACAGTTTTTCTCTGTCTGATATAAAGAAGTAATTTATTATGTGTGAACAATCAATTACAAGCAGCAATATTAGCTTGGCATAGAAATACACAGTAGTGCTACAATGTTTCCATCATGCTCATTTTCTATCCTTTCCTTTATGCCCTATAAAAACACTAAGAGGCATAAATTACAAGTGTTTATGCTCATGCACAGACAGATTTACTTTAGTCCATCTTATTTTACATTTCAAATGAGACCTGTTCAGGTCACAATTCATGCACCTCTCATAATGAAATCAAAACTTCAATTACATGTGCAAAGCTAACGTGGGGACTGAGCCCCACCATCCAGCTTTGTAAGGAATGAACCAAGCAGGCTAAAAGTTGCTCTAGGTTGATGTAGTTCTGTATTTATGAGCAATTTCTCTATTGACTAACTTTTGAATCCATCCAACAGCGTATAAAGAAAGTAATAAAGCTTGATTCCCTTCACACTTTCTTCATTGCCTCACTTACAAGTTTTGTTTTAGTGTCAGAGCAAGTCTCAGCTCCAGCTCCTTCTCTGTCTCCAGCTCAGTGCACAAGCGGCTGCTCGCGGCCTGCAGGCGGGACACGGCTGCCCTGGCAACGTTAGAGAGAACCCATCAGGAAATGTGAACTCAGCCCCCCTTGCAAGATCAACAAGAACAAAGCACAGCTCTAAGGCTCAGATTTATTCAGTAGAATCACAGAAATTTATGTAGCCTCTTCTTTAACCTTCTAAGTGTCCATTCTTGAGGCAGAGTTTTCTTTAAACTCTTACACATCAGTTAAAAGGAACAGATGAGGATTTCAAAAGCATTGACCAGTAGCTTAATGCAACTATTCACTTCTCAGACTGATAAAAGTAGTATTACTCATGAAGATAAGCGTAGGTGAACCTAGAGAACCTAGACCGAATTTGCTTTTAAAATGGTACTACAATATTCCATACATTCCATTAGCTTACAACTGCAGCATTCCCACACAGTTATTTTCCTTCTCTCCCCAGGAAAACTAGCAGACAGTGTGCTACAGGATCCACAGACAGTGGCCTGACTATACTCAACATAAACTCCCATCCTCTAAATGAAAATTGGATCTTCTACCTGCAGCTATTCCTCTAAATTCTACATTTCTCTGTTGGCATTGGTAGTGCTAATGGCAGCCAGGATTTGCATTATTGCTAAACCACAAAGACTTTGAACTTCATAAGCCAGAAATCTATCAAGCCTTCTCACTCCACTAGTCACTTGCTAAATGTAAGAGATTGGGAGAATTGCTATTTTTTCCATATCTAGACCTCTCCATGTGACCCATCATAAGGATAAACACTACACTGCCTTTCTGCCTTTGCTGGGATTTGTTACTGTCTCTGAAATCCCACTTGCAGCACCTCAGGAGGCTCATTTGCATCAGCTCATCAGTTTTGTTTAAGCAGCTCTCCCATTCTGGCAGCTAACCTGCCTTCCTTTCTCTCATTCATCGCTGCTCTAACCTGGAGATGAACACAGGTTAGAAATGCAGCTGCGAAGTTTGTTCACAAGCCTCTGGCTCCTGGTACACAAGCCACCCACTGCTTTCTATTTAAACCAAATGTGAAGAGTACAGTAAATTGCCTCCCACTTGATAGCACAAATGTTTCAGAGCAGCTCCTGTATGCAGAGCTACTCCTGAAAGGCATTCCTGCATGCTAGAACAACACAAGAAAGGAATGGTGCATGTATGTGTGCATGTATAAAAATACATACACACATAGATAGAAATCCTGACTGAGTAACCACCAGAAGCAAAGCCATGACCTCCAGGAGTGCCACAGCACCTTGATTCATCAGACTGAACAGAAGATTGACACAATTGACAGCAGTGGGCTAGGCTGATTTAGTACCTGTTGTTACATTTTAAAATATATGCCTCTTTCCTACCCATTCCCAAGTTTCCACCTCTTCCTGCTCTTATCTCATTAATTACACACAGATGAACATAGTGGATGCCTGTAATCCTTGGTATCCAGAAATACTCTCTACCTACACATTGCCAGCCTCCTCCTCTCTCTCTATTTCCATGTCTACATGATCCAGCTGCTTTGCCAGAATCTTGCTCCGCAGCCGACAGGCGCTCAGCGTGTCACTGCAAGAAACAAACACATCATTTCTTTCTTTTCCCAGTAAAACTCTTCTTTTTGAGGGCAAGATCCACAGCCAGGATTCCTGTCAGATACATAGTTCTATAAACTCTAGTATTTATGATGGATTCAGTATTTGCTGGGGATTTGTGCTGATGGATTATGGTTGCTTCAACACTAACCTGGTTTTTTGGACCATCAGTTCCTTTTCCCTGACCATGTCATCCAGCAATTGGAGGTTTCTCTGTGAGTTTAATATGTGAATTCTGTCTGCAGACTTCAGAGGTTGAATGTTATCAATGTTGCCCAAAGAGTGTTCTGAGCTTTGCCTTTGAATTGGAACACACAACCAACAAAGAAACAATGAGAAACTCTAGTTATGTGAAGTTTGCCTGACATCCTTACATCCCTGCTTTCTGTTTTATTCTAGCAAAACTGTTACTTTTAAGACCATTATAAATAAACAGGAACATGAACATAAACAGCAGAGGAAGTTTGCATTAATGGACTTAAGCCAGGATTTTCAGTATTGGATATCTAATGTTGAACATTTATACCCTCATTTAAAGCATTAATGATGTGTCTTTGTTTTAAAATGCCTGGGGCTCCTCTTGATCCCACCTCAGCTTTGCAATTTCAGTGTTCCTGAACAATAGTTTACAATTTAACAGGAACATTTTAAACTAGTTTAAGCCATGTCACACACAGGTCACTCAGCACCACTGAGGAAATTCTGTTTGAACTGGAACAAGGTATTTACGTGCTAGCATCAGACTGGTCTCCAGCATCTTCAAAAGTGTCCTTGTTTTCCACCTTGCCACTGCCATCCAGATCTTCTTCCAGCTCATATTCTAGCAGATATTGAAACAACAGCTTAATAAAGAGACTTGGAATTTTCAAATGCAAAGCTTTCTATATTTGCTGTCAAGTCACAGCGTGGAGAATCAGACATGACATTTTATAGCATTACTGCAGTGTACATTAAAAAATTCATATGCCAAAACAGACAGGACTATGATACACCTGCAAATGAACAGGAGAATGCTCTCTGCCTTCATGTGGAAGTGTCACCAAGAATCCCATTTGTGTGGGAAAATCCCAGACAAGAACAGGGAGAGGGACAAGGGAGGATAATGTATTGTCAGGTTCTGGCCAATGATCTAAATGTTTATCTTACATTAAGTCTACATTAATGTTGAGTTATCAAAACAATTCTTTTTCACCTTCCCAGTGTTCTTCTATGTCAGAGAGCTGACCAGCTGCATCCTCTTTTTCTTTCTCTTCGTATCTTTCTTCTTCCTCTTCTTGTTCTTCTTCCTCTTCTTCTCTTTCTTTTTCCTCCTCTTCTTCTCCTTCTTGCTCTTCTTGTCTTTCTTCTTCTTCTCCTTCTACTTGTCTTTCTTCTTCTTTTTCCCTTTTTTCTTCTTCCTCCTCTTCTCTTTCTTCTTGTTCCTCTTTTTCTTCTTCTCCCTCTTCTTGTCTTTCCTCTCCCTCGTCTAGAAACACTAGAGGAGACATTTGCTCTTCTCCCTCACTAAAACTGATCTCACGATCTTCCATGCTGGCAGTTCTTTCCAAATGACCAGGCTGAGTAAAAAGAAGAACATGTTTTCCACATCAAATATCCAACATCTTGCAATAGTTGTGATTATCTCTGGAGGTGAATTCACAGCATTCAGTACATACTTAATGCACATGAAATAACTGGATACAACTACATACCTCTGTGCTAGTTACACATTTTGAGTATCAGCTATAATAAATCTCTTAGTGAAAAGCAAGGACTCTACTTTTTTTTTTTTTTTTTTTTTTTTTTTTTTTTTAATTTTTAACTGAGCAATCAGCTCAGTAATAAAACAAACCTTCTTAAAACAAACCTTCGGGATGTATTTTATCTACTTACACCATGACTTTACCCCAAATAATTTGGGCACAACTCCAACAAACACTATTTGTTCTTGAGTCTTGTGGAGTTCTAAAAAAAATCCTTTTATAAAAAACAAGGACTTTTTTTTTTTTTTTTTTTTTTTTTTTTTAATTTTTTTTTTTTTAATTTTTAACAGCGCAATCAGCTCAGTAATAAAACAAACCTTCTTAAAACAAACCTTCTGGATGTATTTTATCTACTTACACCATGACTTTACCCCAAATAATTTGGGCACAACTCCAACAAACACTATTTGTTCTTGAGTCTTGTGGAGTTCTCCAATGCAAAGCAAACTGCTTCCCAATGCTGTTACAATTTATTAGAATTCAGTAAATTCTGCATGTCATCTAGAATGAGTTATTACCACATGGCTGAGCATTTCACATCTTACCCACAGAAAGACTTTTGGACATATGATTAATTTTAACGAAGGTGGCTCAGCTTTGAGTGCGTTTATGTAAATCCTTCTGCAGAATACAAGAAGAATCAACAAGAAGAGAGCATCTATTTTCTCCAGTTAAGGAGCAGAGAAAACAAACCCCAGGATTTGAAGTATGGAGGAATGAGTAAATGATAGAAACCACCTTAAAGCCAAGTTGGATTCCTACGCTGGGCTGCTGATTTAGGGATGTTGGTGGCACTAAGAAGCGGCACAAACACCAAACGAGCAGCCAATGCAGCAGCAGCCCAACGCCTTCACCAAACCCCTGAGCTGTGAGGCCGTGTGGCTCCAACTCCCAGATAACAAAGTCTGGGGTGAATGAGGCCGAGATGCACAGCACGGCAGAGCCCGAGCCCTCCCACAGGACACCCCGGGACCGTCTCGGTGCTCGCGGCGCTGTCCCCTCACGGCTCACCGCGCTCGGCCCCGGCCCGGCTCCCCACGGCCCCGGGCCCGCCGCGCCGCCACGGCAACGGCGCCAACCACCGCGCGCGGGCGCGGGCGCGGGGCGGCGCTGCCGGCGCAGGCCGCTGGGTCCCCCCCGCCCGCGGGGGGGTGCGGGCCGGGATGGGCTGGGGGCCGCGGGCCGGGTCCGGTGTCTGAGGGCCGGGGTCCCTTGGTCTGGGTCAGGTGTCCGAGGGCTGGGGTCCCTGGGTCTGGGTCTGGGTGCAGTGTCCAAGGGCCTGGGTCCAGTGTCCGAGGTCCAGGATTCCTGGGTTTGGGTCCAGTGTCCGAGGGCCGCGGCCTGGTGTCCAAGGGCCGAGGTCCGGTGTCCAAGGTCCAGGATCCCTGCGTTTGAATCCGGTGTCCGAGCTCCAGGATCCCTGGGTCTGGGTCCGGTGTCCAAGGTCCAGGATCCCTGGGTCTGGGTCCGGTGTCCGAGCTCCAGGATCCCTGGGTCTGGGTCCGGTGTCTGAGCTCCAGGATCCCTGGGTCTGGGTCCGGTGTCCGAGCTCCAGGATCCCTGGGTCTGGGTCCGGTGTCCGAGCTCCAGGATCCCTGGGTCTGGGTCCGGTGTCCAAGGTCCAGGATCCCTGGGTCTGGGTCCGGTGTCCAAGGTCCAGGATCCCTGCGTTTGAATCCGGTGTCCGAGCTCCAGGATCCCTGGGTCTGGGTCCGGTGTCCGAGCTCCAGGATCCCTGGGTCTGGGTCCGGTGTCTGAGCTCCAGGATCCCTGGGTCTGGGTCCCGTGTCCGAGCTCCAGGATCCCTGGGTCTGGGTCCGGTGTCCCTGGGGTCCTCACACTTGTTCAGATCATTGAGTTCTTGAGGTCTGAGCCATCTTGAGCAGCTCTCTGCAGTGTTTTCCTCCTTGATGATTGTTTACATTATTGATTCTCAGAGGTAGATCAGAATAGGAAACACTGACACGGTTCCTGCCCAGGTGTGGTGGCGAGTGAGCTTTTTGTACATTCCTTAGAAGAATGATTGACACTTTGGAAATACAGTGGCATTAAACAATTCTGTTGCATTAATAATTAGTAATCGTCAGTAATTACCCTGGTGGGAGCACCTCTACCTGTGCTGCCTGTCTGGGACATTGGTTCAGGTGCTTTCAGGTAACCAAAGCCAGAGATATTCTCAGTGAACTTTCAGCTTAATCTTTATTCACATACATTTATAAATTCCAAGCAAGTTGGTGGCATTATGATTAAAATCCTTTTTAATCTGAATTCAGATTAAATATGCAATGGTGCAATGCGAAGTCCTGTGGATTTGGGGCTGGAGCACTCATGTTAGAATACTGAAGGTTTCCAAGCCTCAATCCAAAAGGAAGCTGTCTTAAATGTCTTTTCAGAAGTAAGCCTGTACTATCCTGATAAAAGCATTTCACCACTTGTTACTAATTAAAGGTTATTACAGCAGAAACCATGTACTGCTCATGCTGCCCATTTATTATGCCACATTCTGACCAGGTCCTCTGGCTTCAGCAGCAACTGCAGCTCTAGAGGTTCTATAAACTTCTGTAATTGTTATAAATATGCACAAAATCCCTACATGAGAAGTCTTTAGATGATATTTCAGTGATTTACATACTCATAGCGACTGTGTTCATAAAGTGAACCAGTTTGAATGTTCTGCCCTGCAGCAGAACCTCCTGAGCCTGGGTGTTTGAGGTGTTCAGTACCAGATTTATGGTGCCCAGAGCAGCTGGGGCTGCCCCATCCCTGGCAGCGTCCAAGGCCAGGTTGGACGTGGCTTGGAGCCACCTGGGATAGTGGCAGATGTCCCTGCCCATGGCAGGGGGTGGCACTGGGTGAGCTTTGAGTTCCCTTCCAACCCAGGCCATTCTATGACTCTGTGGTTTTTAATTGGTGATTAATTGGGTTTCCTTTCTGTTCCATTGCTTGTGTTACCTTGGCAAAGTCAAGGACCAGTGCAGCTGGATCCACAGCAGAGCAGATCCCTGTTCCCTCACTCTTGGCACTAGGCCTCGGTGACGTGCCAGAGAAACCCAGCTATGCAAAGGCTCCCAGGGATTCAGTTATTAAAATACTGAGGCATCATCTGCACCAAAATACAGCCTGATCTGTACACAGAGACAGATGCATTCTCAGATTTATTTAGTTGAAAACGTTCCTTAATTGTAAGCAATATTTTTGTAATTGTTATCGTTGCTATGAGAGTAAGGTCTAGGTTTTGATCCCAGGCACACAGCACATGCTGCTAATCTGAGCATTTATTTCCACTGGCACACGTAATATAGAGTATAAATTACTCACAGTGACCACTGCATTGTCCCACATTTATGCTATAGGTCCTCAATCTTGAGAAATACACAGACATTCTTAGCTCTATAAATGGCGGAATCTTGATTTTATGGCATCTATTCATATTACATAAAACAAATTACATACAGACATTTGCAGGATTAAAGCTACAAGATGTAGGCTAAAAATATGCAGTGATTAACTGTATAGCTCTCTCTGCAGATCTGGAATAGTTATAACTGTGTTAACTCTGAACCTGCCAGTTCGAGTTGGGATGAAAATCATCCAAGCATGGATTTTCCCCTCAAGAAAACACTCAGAAGAACACCTGGAAATATCACTGATTGTCAGTTTCTTGGGATATTTTTCTTCAGGGTATTTTTTTCAGTCCCAATTGACAACTGTTTGAATTATTTCAATTTCATAACAACAACATCAACAAGGGTCATGATTTTGTGTCAGGTGAATAATGTGCTTTTAGGGAAAGACAATGTAGATTTTTCTCTCTCATATAGATAGGAAAGGAAGAAGATATCTGCAGTTCCTCTGAAGGAAATTATGGCTCCCCAGCCAAGTTCTTATCTCCCAATCTACAACTTACATCTATCAGCTTAAAGCCAGTGAATCTTTAAGATTTAAGCTCCTGGAAATGTACAAAAAAAGGCTTTGGTTGATGCAGCTCTTCCAGATTTTGCGGGCTCTGGACCCCAGTGATCCATCTTGGAGAAGCTGGGAAACGGAGTGAGCAGCTCCAAATGAAAGCCCTTCTGTCTTGCTGGCAGGAGGTTAAATTCAGAGGCATTTCTGAGGAGTTCTGCAGCAGCACCTCAGGATCAGCTGGAAAGGCAGCAGAGCTGGCCAGTTCCCCGTGCTGTGTGGCTGCACACTGCGCTTCCACAGGCACTTGGCATTTCCCTCCCGAACGTTTCCAAGGTGACAGGAGCTCATCTATGGAGCTTTCTGGCGTTTAGGCAGGAAGACATGCCAATAATGGAATCTGCATTTTGGCAGGGTGGTTGGTATCAATTACATAACACAACTTGGCTGCCCCTGTTGTTTGGTAGGGATCGATGTTGGCCTGTAAACAATGGCAAACATTGATTTGTCGGACTGTAAATAATGGCAAACATTGATGAGCATCTTCCCAGTGACTCATCCTTACAGATGGATGGACAGAAAATGAGAGGGGCATTTGCTGTCAGAGCACTTCATGGAGGAATGGCCTGGGATGGCACCAGCTGGGAGTGCAACTCATCTGAGGTAAAACTGGCATCCTGGAATTAGCCCTGGCTTGGGGGCAAAGCGAGGAATTTCATCCCAAATCTGTTGCATAAAGAAAAGAAAAGGAGGGCAAAGTGTCTGGCTGCAGTGTGCTTCATGATTATAAAAAAAATTATGCAGATTGAGGGAGGAACTAGATGTTCTACAGAACATTTAGAAACAGATAAAAACTGTATTGCTAGCACTTAAGGTGAAAAGGAAATTAATATTGTGGTTATCCAGATACTGATTAAATACAGACACATTTGTGTTGGGGCTGGGGGATGTTCAGACAGTGCAAGTACAGTACAACCTCTGAAACGAGCTAAATATTCCCACCATGCAATTGCTACT